CGATCCATGATTCTCTCTCATCATTGATGTTTTCTCTCCCTCTCCCGTTCCTTTCTGAACTCAATAAAAATATTATTTTAAAAAAAATATTCACTGAATAAATAGATGCTGTCTCACCTTCCTTTTCAGCTGCATCACCTTCATGCCCTCCCCTTTCCCTCCATAGCCATGCTTTCTTTTTCACTGCACTTCTCCGGGAAAGCTCCTTACCTTTCATGGGTGCCATCTCCAAATGTAGATAGAATGTATAGTCATCCATGACAAACTTTGACAAGCCTTCTCTTTGAAGTGTGGTTGGCTGGTCCATGCAGCTTAATAATTTCCAGGGCATTTACATCATATTCTGTTACAGTTCTTACCAGTCTTACCTTCATTTGTTTAGGGCTCCCAGACGTGAGTTCTTTAAAGAGAGCAACTCTTTCACTCCCATATTTGTGTCTCCACATCCTAGCCTGGTCAGGGAATGCTTTCTTGATTGCATAAAGGGTCTGGGCAAGTCTGTTGTCTGTTACTTTATACTGAGAGAGCTACCTGCAGACAAAGCCCAGCCCACAAGCCACAAAATTATTTTAAAAAGAAACAAAGTCATAGTAAACTTTTATATTTTGTGATCAATGTGTTTGACAAATAGGTGAGACATGCAGCCTTTTATACTCAGTACAAAGTAAGGAGCAAGAGAGTGGGGAATTACCTGTCTGTTGCTAAAAGGAATGAATGGAAACAGTGATAGTGTTTTGCAAAATAAATCATCGCCAGTTTATCTTTTAATAAATTCTCATAGTTTGAGTTTGCTTAAGGATAATGTATATCTGCTTATATTAAATAATAATATACCTTTCCTTTTTACATTTATAAAATTGGCAGTTTGAGGTAAAAAAAAAGTATTCTAATTTATTGAATCATGAGTTTCATTTCTATAATTTTAGATGCTAAAAGCACTTTTGAAGAAACATGCCCATACTGTTTCCAGTTGCTGATTCTGGATAATTCTCGAGTACGCCTCAAACCCAAGCCCAAACTGACACCAAGAATACAGAAACTTCTTAATCGAGAAGCAAGAAATTGTACACTCAGTTTTAAAGAAGCAAAAATTGTGAAAAAGTACAAAGACTCCAAAAGTGTACTGGTAAGATTTCAGTTTCCAGACTTTCACTCAAAATGAAGAGAATCAGCCTGAACATAACTCAGAGATTTGTAGTAGTATATTGAAATTGGCAAAAAATACACATTTTTTTCCCCTAGTGATTACTGTTTCAGCAAGTGTACAGCTTATTTTTGCTTTTTACAGTTACTTAAAATCACATATCACGAGCTCTCAGTTGTTCCCAGATCTCATTGTTGAGCACAATTATTTTTACAAATTGAGGATTTCTTGAGCAGACCAATGTGACTTCACCTGAACTGCAGCTACCACTAAATTATTTTTTCAGTTAATGGTCCTTTTCTTCAAACAACAGTAGCTTATTTGTTAGGCATTTGTCACTTTTTAGTCATCCCCGCTTCCATGTCAGAGTATGTATTTACGTTTATGCCCAACAAAAGTAAGTATATCTTATGTTCATTCATTAAACCTTTATTGAGGGTCTATCTTATGCCATATAATGCTAAGTATTGGGGATATAAAATGGATAAAACAACCAAAATCAAATTACTTGTGGGTTATTAATAGAGACAAGTATCAGAAGATACATTGAATCATCCAGGTGTTAAGGGGTATTATTCCCAGTCTCCTCCATAACCCCCACACATGGTTTTACATTGAGAAAGTAGAGACTTTATTATCTTTAAAAGGTGTTTTAAATTAAATACACAAGTTTAGCCATTCATTTTTTATTGGAGATTTTCTCATTTTAAATTTGTGTTTGGTCTCATTCCTGCTGCAAGATTACAAGCTCCCTGAGTTCAGCCTCTGTTACCCTGTAGTACCTGGTCTGCTCCCTTGCATATAAGAATTTAAGGAACATGTACTTAATTGGACTAAATTTTAAGAGAAATCATGCCATGTATATCTTCTTTGTATGGCAGTTGATTACTTGTAAAACATGCAACAAAACAGTGAAACATTATGGAAAGAGCAGAAGCTTTCTGTCAGCACTGAGGAGCAATCCTACCACTCCTGCGAGGAAACTCAGCCTGAAGACCCCAGAGAGAAAGTCTCTAGGTTCTGCAAACCTAAATCACAGGGTGTCTGGTTCCAAAGGCAAGAGCCCAGCATTGACTTTCAGGTAATTAATTCATTGAGTTATTTGAATTGCCAGTGTTAACTCCTGAGTATTTATTCTAATTTCCTCTTATGTACAGTGCCCAAACTTGCCTTGGCCCTCTTTTTTCCTCCATACCCTTTTCTTCTCTAGTCTCATATTCTCCTATAGCTTTCATTGTCACCTCTGTATGACTTCAAGGCAAATTCCTCTACTTGCAACCTCTCCCTGTTCCCAGCTGCATGCTAAATATATCCACTTCACCCCCTACAGGTCCCCACAGCTGACTACTCAAACCTGCCCATCCTCCTTAAGTTCCTTATTTTGTGAATAAACATGCCCTTCTAGACATTCTGACCTGAAATGGCAAGTTCAGTTGACAACCACTGCCTTGGTCCTTGTCCAGTCAGCTGCCAGTTTCTATTGTCCTACTTTCATGGTGTTTACATCCCTACTGCCGCTCTCTCTTCAGGTCTTTATTCCTCTTTTGATGAATCTTCCTGTCTGATCTCCTGAATCACAGCTCTGATTAGAAGCACCATTTGGGGCGTGCAGCAGGCTCTCCAGCCCTCACTGCCTGGCATCAATCTGTCTGCCTGTGTTACTTTGCCTAATGTATCCTGTGTGTCAGCAAAACTGAACAACTCACCATTTACTTTCCTGCTCTAAATCTTTGTTCTTGTTAGTTCCTCTAATAAATTCCTGTGGAGATGTAACTAGGGACTTGTCAAATGATACTGAGTTAACTATGACTGGGCACGCTTTAACAAAATTCAGGAAGGACTGGATTCTCTGCTTTCTGAATTGAGTTTTTTTAATGTTGGATTTATTGGATAAGAATTAAATTTCAAGGCCAGTTTTCTCTATATTCTTAATTGTTTTGTTATTTGGTATGATAGGAATTCATCATGGAAGTTTCCACTTTATTGGATAAAAGTAGATAAAAGAAAATTTGGTGTATTTAAAAGAATTCACTTGCATTTAGACCAGACTGCTTCTTAGACATGCAGGACTGAGAAAAATATTTCACATTTATCTTATAGATGGGGAGGCAGAAGAGGGGTCAGGCTGACAAACCCCAAATAAAGGTTCAGGATAAAACACAATTGGAAAGAATAAAATAGAATGAGGCGTAAATACACACATACCAGATGGGGAATCATTTATGGAGTGAATATATATAGAGGGCCTCCTCTGTGCCTGGCACTGTTAGAAAGCACTGGACTATACAATTAGTACAGAGTGCCTGCCCCGTGGAGCTTCCATTCTGGGGAAGATACAACGGAATGGTACCTACATGTGTAGGTTGAGATCCTTCAAAGTCATTGCTTAGCTTTGTCATGAGTCTTGATGTCAGACTTAAAGAGAACTCAAACCTGATGACACTTTACCTTTAGCCTTCTCTTTCAGGTGTGATAGAAGCTTCCAGAACCACCCAATATACCAACTAAATGTTGCTTGTAGCCTACTTAGTGAGGAGGTTTTTGGGAGTGACTGCTGGGTACAGCCACTGCTCATATGTGGCCATAATACAAAAGAGTGGAAAACGTGTCTGATAGCAGTCATTTAGGCTAAGCGGGAAGAACACTTTTTAAATGGTCCTTTGTCAGTATTCCTAAGTGTAGTTTTATGTTTCTTTTCAGAACACCTACATCTGGACACTCAACACCCACTTGCTCCTCAAAAAATGTGAACAAAACAAAGAAACACTTCTCTCAACTAAAAATGTTACTTAGCCAGAGTGAATCCAAAAAGAATTCAAAGGTGGACTTCAGAAACTTCTTATCTTCTTTGTAAAGGATGAACTTATGGAAATAAGAAATGTTTAATGCAATTTCTGAAACTAAAGTTACCAGAAAAACAGCTTTTTAAAAACTAGGGTCTAAAAGCAAACTTTTCTTGGCAGTATTCTGTATTTATGGAGAAAATACCTCATTAGAATGAATAACTAAAACCTGCCTATCTCCCAGGGTGATTCTGAGAATCAAAAACATATGAAAGGTCCTTGTAGGTAATTTAAAAAAAAATATGTTTATTGATTTTAGAGAGGAAGGGAGAGGGAGAGAAACATCGATCGGTTGCCTCCCATAAGCATCTCAACCTGGGTATATGCCCTGACCAGGAATCGCACTGACCTTTTGGTGTACAGGACAGTGCTCAACCAACTGAGCCACCAGCCTGGGCTCAACATGTTTGTTTTTGAAAAAAAACACACCTTTAAATAAAGAATGTAGATATTTTAAACTATCATCTGTTTCTAAGCCTCTCTGTTGCTACAAGTTTAAAACTTGTTTTTCTTCCATTAGGGCTTGGTAAACTGGGCAGCCAAGGTTATTAGCGAGTTAGTCTTGTAGTCATGTAAAGTGAAATTACACTAACTAGTGTCATCAAAGAGGGTTGGTGAGAGTCACCATTCTGAGACTGCGGGCCACAGGCTGCAGCAGCTGGGTCTTCCCTTCATGTCCACAGCACCTACCATAATACTTTGGTCACGGTAGATACTGTACCTTTCTGGCTAACTTCTCACTGGAACATGTTTCTCTTGAACTCTCTGCTCTTCTGTTCACTTACCCAGGCATATGAGCTCTGTTCTCGGAATGTACCATCTTCTTGCCGGCCGTGGGCCTTTGCACATGGTTCTGGAGAATGCCATCTACTCCAGCCCCACTGCATTGAGGGCCACTCTTCCTACAGTGCTGGTGACCCTGTAGTTTCCTGCTTGACTGTCCCTAACTGCCTGTGAGCTCTTTGCATGTCTAGGTGATCTCAGCACCTAGTTCCCTGCCCAGCACGTAGCACAAGCTCTGCAAATATTCCTCAATTATGGTAGTTAAATTCAAATTCCTTAGCCCACTTGTTCACACTAGATTTAGAACTAACATCCTCTCCAACTGCATGACTGGGAAGTAAGAAGGAGTAAAAGTAGGAACTCCTAGGCTGGGAGCTGTTTACCTCAGTAGCAAATAAAGGACACTATGTATTCTTGACTTTCTTTTCTATTTGGCAGAAGGGTCTTTGGGCATCTCTAAAGAGAATATTAAAATTATAGTGTGGACATAAAACCTTGCCTTGATATGAAATCTTTCATACTTATCTTTTCAGGCCTATCCGTTTTTTAGAAAATATTTTCTTACTAATTTTTTTTTGTAAATCCTCACCCAAGGATATTTTTCCATTGATTTTTAGAGAGAGTGGAAGGGAGGAGGAGAAATAGAAGGAGAGACAGAGGGAAACATCTATGTGAGAGAGACACGTTGATTGGTTGCCTCCCGTATGCTCCCTGACCAGGGCTGGGGATCAAGGCTGCAACGGAGGTACATGCCCTTGACCTGAATTAAACCCGGGACCCTCCAGTTGGCAGGCTGACACTGTATCCACTGAGCCAAACTGGCACGGGCTTCCTTACTAACTTTAATATGCAGTTATACACATATGCATAAGATATAGATATCCTCCTATATAATAAAAGAGAAACATGCAAATTAACTGCCCTTCTGCTATGCTCAGGCCATACCCACCAGCCAATCAGGAGCGAGTATGCAAATTAACCCAACTAATATGGCTGCGGCCACGGAGCTGGAGCGAGCCAAGAGGCTTGGGTTGCCCCTGGCGATGGAGGAAACCAAGCTTCCCACCTGCCCTGGCTGGCCCTGGGCTCCGCTCAAGGCTACAAAGTTTCAATTATAGAAGATAAATAAATCCCAGAAAAAAAGGAGAGGCTGGGAGTTTGGGTCGCCGGGGGGCGTGGCCAACCTGAAAACAGCCATCAGCTCCTCACCGAGGCTGGCCAGGCACCCCAACAGGAACCCCCACCCTGAAGGGGCTGTGGGCAGCCTGAAAATGGCCCTCAGCCCCTCACTCAGGCTGGCCACACACCCATGGGGTGAGGGTTCCCACTGGGGGACTTGAACAGCCTGCAAACAGCCATCAGCCCCTCACCCAGGCTGGCCAGGCACCCCACCGGGACCCCCATCCTGATTCGGGACACCCTTCAGAGCAAACCAGCCGGCCCCCACCAATGCACCAGGCCTCTGTCCTATATAATAAAAGGGTAATATGCAAATTGACCCTAACAGTAGAAAGACTGGGAATGACTGGTCACTATGACACACACTGACCACCAGGGGGCAGACGCCTCATTGCAGGAGCTGCCCCCTGGTGGTCAGTGCGCTCCCACGGGGAGCTCTGCTCAGCCACAAGCCAGGCTGACGGCTGCCAGCACAGCAGTGGTGGCAGGAGCCTCTCCCGCTTCCTCAGCAGCGCTAAGGATGTCCAACTGCAGCTTAGGACTGCTCCCCGCTGACAAGTGGACATCTCTCGAGGGCTCCCGGGCTGCCAGAAGGATGTTTGACTGCCAGCTTAGGCCCGATTCCCCGGGGAACGGGGCTAAGCCAGCAGGTGAACATCCCCCAAGGGGTCCCAGACTGCAAGAGGGCACAGGCCGGGCTGAGGGACCCCCCTGAGTGCACAAATTTTTGTGCACCGGGCCTCTAGTAATTTATATTTAAAGTATGTCTTTGAATCCTTAACTTTTAAAAATGTAATCTCTCCAGAGAGATCATTAGATCATGGTCATTTCAGATTAGTTGTTTCATTATTTATTCTGAACTTAGGAAAAGATCACACAAAGCTCACGTAAAGATCTTTTCCTAAGTTCAGAATGCTTAGCATCTATGCTTTGGGTTTTTGCTTTAGTATCTTGGAATTACATATACAGTATATAGAGCTAAGTAATTCTCCCATCCTGGAATGGAGAACTGAAGCACTGGCCAAGAGGACTACATCTCCCAGAATTTCTAAATAAGAATCACAGAAAGTTCTGATTCAGTTGGTATGTGGCCATATGCAAACGTCCCAAGTGAGTCTTATCAAAGAAATTTGGCCAACACTGCCAGAGATTCCCAGTTTTCAAGTATTCCCCCATTGTGCTCTAAATGCAAGGTGTGGTGAGGGGGCCTGTGCTCCAAAGAAGGAGTTCAAGCTACTAGTGAGTCTGTTTCTTCAAAAGCACTTAAGCACTACTGAGCAGGAGGTCACAACAGAAGATTTGGTCTTGTCCTCTGCCCATAAGGAACTTGCTATATAATGAACTGTAAAACCCATACTTTATTATCATATCTCCTGGAATTGCCTGGAATTTTAAATTGTCAAGCAAGTCATGGACCTCAAAAGTTGGTCTAGAGCATGGTTGTCAAAATATAGTCCCAGTGGTATCAGCACCAAATAGTTAGGAATGCAAACAATCAGACCTTACCCAGAAGCTCTGGTTTAATAAGCCCCCGGGTGATTCTGATGTTCTCTCAAGTTTGGGAACCACTGGCCAAGCAAAAGGAATCTCCTTCAGCAGTTTCTCCACCTCCCTCACTGAATACTTCCAATACTTTCCTTCCCTCCCAGTCCATTAATCTCTCCCTCCCCACCCTATATCCGATCAATCAGATTCACAAAAATAAGCTACACATTTCAAAAAGAACATAAAACTTTATTAAGAACATTTTATATTGTCATCAGATAAAGCCAAACAAATAGGGGTAAAGAAACAGGGAAACTTCATCTTCCCATGTGCTATTGCCACGTCAGAACACTCATATGTGCGGCAACCCACTTGGGTCCCCTCCCAATAAACTTTGCATTCACTTATATAAAAAAAAATAAAAAATAAAAAAAGAACACTCGTGTGGATGGCTGGAATTACAGGTGGAAACAAATCCTCTGTATAAATTCAGTAGGTAACTCAATGCTCCCTTTCAACACAGAGAACTGGGTTTACACTTTTTAAAAAAGCTTCATATAGCGCAACAACTATGAAACAATACTTTACCTTTAGGAGCTATTTCTTAATAGAATACAAAGCAGTTTAGTAGCTTATGTTATTTCATATAATGTCAATTTTTAGAATGGAAATTTCAGAAAGGACATTCTAACTTTCCCAACTAATTTGTACTTGAGTTTCTTCATTCTAAAGATTTCTCAGAACCAGTTCAATCACTCATAGATTGAGTGTTGCTCATCTACAGTGACAACTGACAACCTAGTTTTTGTTCTTTTAATCTTGCAAATCAAGATAGCTGGGTCATCCCAGCTTTTGTTGATTCTGAAGGAGTTCCTACAGAAAAGCCCTGATGGTTCAGAGTGCCTGTGAGAGAAGGTGCCAGAACAGCTGCATCTGGACTCTTTTCCCAGAGGGGAGGCTGGCTACTGAGCACAGCCGATCTGACTCCCGGCTGCCCACGTGGTTCTTTACTTACTGTAGTGATGGAAGGAGCAGAGGGAACGCCAGGGAATCTGCTCAGACTGCCACTCCAGACAGCTGTCACTGTTTGTGGAGAAAAGAGTGATGGTATCCATTCACACTACAGCACCCGTTAGTGGGGCGTTAACTTTTCTTTTGAGGGGCCAGGCCAAACTGCACTCAAAGATACTTGGTTTGCCTCACATGCACAGTGGAGAAAATGCTCATGATTTAGAATTTGGTATTACAATACCCACATCTAAGCCCATTTCTTGAGAAGTAGTCTACCTTTTAGAAAAGAAGACTACTTACTACTAAAGAGCTTACCATGTTTTAACTGAAAATGTAACTTCTAAACCACACCATATCATTTGTGTTCACAGTCAGTGAATTAACCAACAACCAAAGGTTTGAGAAGGATTGGTCATAGGGTGGGATTGGGGTTCAGATTCAGGTTGAGTACTATCACTTATCACAAATTGCATCAAGCTCTTTAAAAAAATAATGCATTTTTATAATAAATATTTAGAGTAGACACTGGCATTAAAATCAGTATCTAAGTCAGAAGTCTGTCTTAAATGGTGAAAATATTTCAACAAATTTCTAATAGATTTCAAAGCTTCCCAGGCATACACAGTTTATA